TGGATTTTGTGAGAATCCTCCTGTACTTCAAAGTGAGAGACACTCTACCACAGTTCAGTAGGCGTCTGTGTGATTCAGTGGGTTTATAGATGTAATTCTTGGTGTATTCATGGGAGATGGTGAGCTATGAGTCTCTCTACTCTGCCATCTTGGTTCAACCTCTGATTTTCATCTTTTTTTATGCAATGTTTTGGGCTTTATTTCTTAAATAGAAGGGGATATGGAACCAGAGTGAGAAATTCCAATATTTCCATTTTAACCTGACCATCTTAACCATCTTCCCTTCAATTTCTTGGTTTGTAAAAGCAGTTTGATGAAAATAATTAGACTTGGCACATTTTATTTTGTGTGTGTAGTGAAACATACATTACATAAGATCTGCCGTTTTAACCCTTTTTAAGTCTACAGTTCAGTGGCATTCAGTACATTCACATTGTTGTACAACCATTACCACCACCATCCATCTCCAGAACTTTCTCATCTTTCGTATCTACTGAATGCGAACTCTCCATTTCCTCTCCCCCATCCCCTCCCCGACAATCACCCTTCTACTTTCTGTCCCTGTGAGTTTGATGACTCTGAGTACCTCATGTCCTGGAAGTGGAATCTTCTGGTATTTGTCCTTTTGTGCCTGGCTTATTTCACTTAGCACAGTTTTCTCAGAGTTTATCCATGTTGTAGCATGTGCCACAAAGTCCTTCCTTTTTAATGTTGAATAATATCCCAATGTATGTATATACTATATTTTGTTTATCCATCTATCCGTCAATGGATATTTGAGTTGGTTCCATCTTTTGGCTACCATGAGTAATACTGTTATGAACACTGGTAGGCTTGCTTTTAAAACGGGCAGTGGGAAGCATAAAACTGTTGATATTTTTAAATGCTGACAATTCTAATAGCACTACCCTATAAGTTTAATTGCCTACAACCATTTGAAAATCATGAGAGGCTGACGGCTTAATCTTGGAGTGATCATGAATGTAGTTCTTAGGAAACAGGGCTGGCCCAGGCATCCGCAAAGAAATAGACTATTTGGGCTTAACTGGGGGAGGGAAGGAGCCAGGGCCAGCAGTGCTTGGTCTGGGTTGGACACGGGAGTGCAGAGGTGACACCTGCAGGGGTGCACACAAGGGAACCAGGAATGTGGAGCAGGGCCTTCAGGGCCACGGGATGAGTCTGGCAGCCGGGGGTGAGCAGTGGTGGGTCAGGATCAAAGGGTGACGGTGGGAGAGGGGGTGGGTGCTCTGCAGGGCCTGGACTGAGCAGAACGAGAGTTCTTTCCTAATAAAAAGCAAAAATGAATCTTCAGGACTGTGTGAGGCTCCTAATGCTACATCACTCTAGTTTACAGACTCCATGCTGGAAAGCCTCTTTTTCCGGTTATAGAAAGCAGGATCCCAAATTAAATGTATTCCAAGTGGGGGAGGGTACAGCTCAAGTGGTAGAGCACATGCTTAGCATGCAGGAGGGCCTGGGGTCAGTCCCCAGTACCTCCTCTAAAAATAAGTAAATGAATAAACCTAATTGCCTCCCTCTCTGCCCCCCCCAAAATAAAATAATAAAAATAAATAAACAAATAAATTCCAATGTGTAAAGAAGAAATGAAGAGCTTTTTCTGCATTGAATGAGACAGACTTCTCACGTGGAATACTGACCCCAGCTGGGCTTAAGCCAGCCTTCCCACAGGTCACGGATGAGGCGACAGAGGCAAGGCCACAGAAGTCCGCAAGTACGGGGAAAACTGACACCTGTTGTAATTTTAAAAAAAAAAAAAAAGAAAGGAAAGACGACTTCTCAAAGTCCTACAAAGTCTACCTAGGTTTTTCTTTCGT